CCTGGATTCAGCTAAACCCAAATCAAATAGCACATCTGAGTCTTAATCAACTTAAATAACAAATAGGGCAAATAAAGAGGCTCTTATTTAACTCAACACTCTGTGTCTGGTTGGTCATCAAAACAAAAGAATGGAATGGATGTAGCTCACCAGTAAAAAAAGGACAGTCTTTTCTGAAAGAATAACACCAAGATTATAAATGTTATTTATCCCTTGATTTATTATGTGTTTAATCCTATACATATCTTCTGAGGTGTAAATTCCATTACGTTGAGTTGCACTTACTTTCAGATATATAGGTACAGAATTGCTAACTGAATTTCTTGAATCTAAATGGATCTTTGAAACAAAAAAAAACCTGTAAGTAGTTTTAGTTTTTAAATGTTTATATCAATTATATCTGGAATTTACAACACCTTTCCAGGTGAACTTTAAAGATTCCTTCCTGCCCTTTTTTTATTTTTTCGTGTTTAAAGGTCAAGGACAGGATGCGTTACAAATGAAGGGCTTAACTATAGTGTGTGTGTGTGGGGGGGGTGGGGGGTGGGGGACTGTTTTCCATACTGAATATGTCCCAACCCTATTTCTAGTTATGAAAAAGCAAAACACCTGTCACCTAATAAAAGGCATAATTGTATATGCAAAGTCTGAGTTCTTGAATGTGAATGCTTCCAATATATTTCTAAAATAGCAGTTTCTGTCCGCCTTGTGTGCTTATAAAAAGCCCCCATGGTCGTGTGGAAAACACTTTTAAAATATCCTAAGGGAAAAGTTTCCCAGAGACTGAAATTCTTACTATTTCTGTCTTCTTTGGAGGTTTGTAAAATCAGCTCTCTTCTGCTGTCTCAAAGTAAAGCAAAGAAAAGAAAGAAAAATACCCCCTAGATAGTTTCCTTAGATTTTCTGTTATACTTCATAGCTTTTTAAAGGTTTCTGAAGTAAGCGTATGTGAAAATCTAGACTTATTTTTCTTATTGTCTCTCTTTTCAGTTCTGATTGTTTTCTCAACCTTCTGAGGGTTGGAGGACTCATGCTTTTGGAACCCATTGGAAATGTTATCAATTTAAAAGTTGCAGCTTTCACACAATAATTATAAAATGAGGGGAAATTCATACCCATTAAAATAGAGAAAAATTACCCATGGAAATCAATTTGTCTAATTACCTCACTTTCTCAGAAAACTGTGGATTAGAATCTTGTGAAAAAGGGAAAGGAAGGAAAAGAGGGGAAAGACTGGTTAATAAAAGGGAAAAAATGATAGAATCCAGTAATAGTCTCCTACAAATGACATGTTTTCTTCCATGAACGGAGAATTTTGAGGCACTGAAGTGGAATAGGAGGAGAGGTTATCTTTGTTTAATCTAGGCACCTTATTGCAGGAAGAAGGCACGCTGGCATTGAAGCAGGACCATAGCCTTTGGTAAGAGGCTTAGGAAGGCCCTCACACAGTTAAAACTTGTACGCCTACTGTGACAGTACCTTGAGAAATCTGACTTGGCCACAGTGATCCATGCCTTAGTTACATCCAGAATGGACTATTGTAATGCATTTTACATGGAGCTGCCTTTGAAGACAACTCGGAAACTGTAGCTAGTGTGAAGAGCAGCAGCCAGATTATCTGGGGTGAGCTTTAGGGAGCATACCACCCTCCTTTTAAAGCAGCTCCACTGGCTCCCAATAAGTTTCCGGGCTCAATTTAAAGTGCAGGTGATGACCTATAAAGCCCTATATTCTTTGGGTCCAACCTATCTTTGAGACCACATGTCCTTCTATGAACCAGTGCGGGCATTAAGATCTGCTGGGGAGGGCCTTCTTTCAGTCCCATCATCATCTCAAGAATGGCTGGTGGGGATGAGAGAGAAGGCCGTCTTGGTGGTAGATCCCCAGTTCTGGAATACCCTCCCTGAGGAAAGTAGTTTTAGCCCCCTCTCTTCAGACCTTCCGGGTGAATCTAAAAACATGGCTCTTCAGACAGGCCTTTGATCCTGGCTAATCCATGGTCAATGTGATGAATCATTGATAGTACTGGCCCACACTTTGATTGATTGTTACAGCAGATAGCCAGCCAACAGGTTCCACTGTGTTTTAGGAATTTTATAACTTTCACATTTTTATAATTTTATTAATGAGATTTTATGCGCTGTTAATTATACTTACATCGTTGTATTTATACTTATGTATTGTTGTCTGCATGTGGCACTTGGAGTGCTTCTGTGAACTGCCCAAGCCCTTTGGGGAGATGGTGGCAGGGTACAAATAAAGATGATTATTATTTTTAACAGTACCCATCATCACTCAATGCCATGTTCATCTTTTTACTGGTCTTTCTCATCCCTATGATAAACCCATCCTTACTATTGACAGTGAAAGTCATCAACAGCCACAGATCATGCCACATTCCTGTCATTTATCTGGTATGATGGGGCTGTTCTGCTTCTGTGTTGGAGTGTCAGTAATGAGGCAACATCAATGGTTGAGAATCTCTTCTCTCTCATTCCCCTCGTTATTCCTGGGGCTGTAATGTTTAGGGTTATAATTTAATTTTCATTTTTATTAAACATGTCTGAAATTATGAAATTGCTTTAAAAATATTTTTTTAAATTACAGAACCACAGAAATGTGGGAGGACAGAGTTAGAAGGCTATGTGAAAGTAGGACCGTAGATAGGGGAACTGGCACAGTTGCAAATAGATGTGAATAGACATGGGATAGCCAGGGTGCTCATGCTTGTTTGTTGCAGCTATCAGTGACTGTTCTATTGCTATGGGATAGCTGCTTTATGCAATCAAATTCCAGGTCTACCTGTAGCCCCCTATGTGCTACTAAAAGCTGGACTGCAGCCCAGATGAATCCTTAGTCAAACAATTAAATTCACTGCCTTCACTTTTCTTCAAACTTCGTAGTCGTTGAAAAGTAAAACACAATTTACATAGCGTGTCACCAGTTTATCTTTATTTAAACTGTTTGTTGCTACAAAAAGTTAAGGGATTAAAAAATCATCTGGCTCTAAAAATACCATATAGTATAGATTGTGCCTGCTGAACTACTCAGGAAGATAACTGTGTTACTATCAAGCATAGGACCCTCTCCTTAGTAGTCGGTCTTTTATTTTTGGATAGTAAGGCAGGCCTGTCTTGAGGTCTGGACCCCCTTCAGTGTTAAGAGAAAAAGTGAGTACTGGCAGAGTTCTCTTTTGATTAAAAAAAAACCCAAAACAAACAAACCCTGAATACTATGTGCATTAAGGGGTTTATCTTGGACTTCCCCCTGACTTTGCTTGATGTGCTTTTTTCCCCTTAACCAGCACTGCAGTCACTTTAGCAACATGTATCATCTCACTGCTGTGGTTTGAAGCAAGCTTCAAACTGAATTATATGGTCAGTGTAGATGAGCCCCTGGTCACCTTCTCTTTCATTCATCCATAGCCAGCATTGGAGTTCAGTGACATGGAGCCATCAACACTGGAAGATACTGACCTGTGTAAACATTTCTCCTTTAGGTGTCACTGAATATATACAGGACTTCTGCTTTATAATTTTACCTCTCTTAAATTAAATTAAAAATAGGAAAATGGGATTTACTCTGCAATAATGAACAATCAGTTGGACAAGAACAGTAGCTAGAATGGCGTATTATTGGAAACAATGGAAAGGCAGACCCACATCCCCCAATTACGCTTTGGTATAAATCTTGCTTCCAATTGTTGCTGTTGAAGTTAGTAGTGTCCCAGGCTGTAACCTGAAAAGGCAAACACTTCTCCCTATTAATACTGCCAAGAAAGGACTAGTATCTGGATGGGAGACAGCCAACAAATAACAGGTGTCATAACTATATTTCAGAGGAAGATCTGGCAAAACCTCTGAGTATTCCTTACCAAAGAAAACCCCATAAAATTAATGAGGTTGCCATATGTCAGCAGGTGATTTGAAGGCACACATATACATGGTCTGATGTCACTAGTGATGAATGACATATTTCCTCTTTCATTGACCCACAAAATTTGATTTTTCAAATTACATTTTAGCACATGATTGCCTAAATCTTATTTGCAGAGTCCTAACTATAGTAGAGCTAGTGTAGCAGTTGGGTTTTCATCAACAAATTGAATTAGTCTATTCTAGTTATAATAAGCCAACAGGATTCTAGCTGATAAATAATAAAGAACTAATTTGGCTACCAATAATCCCCTCCTGTTTTACTTTGAAGTATGTGTGCTTCCCTTGGAGTGCACAATTCTTTCTTTCTTTCTTTCTTTCTTTCTTTCTTTCTTTCTTTCTTTCTTTCTTTCTCCAAGGAAGCAATGGGTTTTCTTTCCACAGCAAGGCTAACCCTGCAGTCTGGCCTCCCCCCACCCCCATAAGTAAGGGGGAATCTGCTTTCAGAGCTGTGAAAAAGTCTCTACCAAATAGATATGGATATCAATACTTTATTTGTAAAGTCTTGATGTATTCCACACATGCAGCACTATATGGAAAGCTTAAAACTCCCAACAAAAAAGATTTGTGGCAAAGCATATGACCTTCTCCGCACCGCAATGGCCATCCCCTAATTAGGCAATGCATCTGATAGTCATTAACAGGAATGAGATAATGAATCACTTTCTCTCTTCTTTGTTAATTTGCTGTAACCAAGCGGCTAATGGATGTCAGAGCTGAGTGATTGCACTGATTATAGTGATTTATAGTTGCAACAAAACAATTTAAAACCATTCTGATTATTCATGTTAAAGATTCTTTATGTTTTGTTTACTAAATATTTTCCATCCTTTTTTTGGTCTCCATGAAGATTTGGGTTCAGAGCCAAACAATTCTTTTGGAAAATTTAAAAAGTTTCAGGACAGTTGTTTTGGTATTGTTTCAGAGGATGACATTTTATTTGGTTTATAGAAAAATTTACCCTGTAGAAATGAAAAGCCTTAGGGTGGAAACAAAACTTCAGTGGTGCCGAGTTCAAAAGGAGGAGGAAATAAGAGGAAATAAGAGAAACTTCAAGCCACTTACCTTGGGGCTCTCAGTCCCTTCCTCATGCTCCGCAGACACATCAGTAGCCAGTATCTCAGCTTTGATGATACCCAGAGCCCTAAGAATCCAGCTGTGTTGTCGTTTGATTTGCCTCTGTAGTTCTTTCCATTGACTTGCAATCATCTGCAACATGTCCTTCAGTCCTTTTCCGAAATGAGAGAAACAAATTGTCATACATTCAATTTCATCTTTCAATGACATTATTTATACAAAGGGCAGCAAGGAATTCAAGCAGGAGGGAGGGACAACCTCTGTTAGCACTACAAAAACAATGGAAATCCCTTTCTAATTATTTTGCACACTTTACGGAGCTAATCAAGAATTCCAAGAGAGTGATATTGTAAAAAGATGGACAGGATCAAACCATGCAGACAGCAAAGAGAAAAAAAAAGGAATACATAATCTGTCACTCTATAGAAGCACCAGGACAAAAATTAAGGCTTTAGTCTATTGTTCGGGACATATTTTCATTGTTGAAGTCATTTTCCTTAAAAAAAAAACCCTTTTATATAAATATGCAATGACATATTACTCATCAGTTCTTGAGAGCTTGCTACCATTCCACAACCTCTAGGGCATTATGCAAATTAGCCATATGATTTACTATAGCATCAATGTTTGTAGGGTGCATGTATCTGGTTTAGGTTCAAGAGAAGATGTTCAGGTACAGAAGTAACAGATGCAAGGAGCTGAATAATAATCACATGAAAACCTAGAAGATAACGACTCAAAATGCAACCCAGATTTTTGAAAAGGAAAAAAAGCTTTCCAAGCAAGCCAAAATAACGCCAGCAATTTCTAGGAATAGGGAACGTTCTGATTAAAACCATATTATTAAACTAGTCACGCCACGTTCCAACAATATGACAAAAGTTATTATTCATCCTAACTTAAAGCTTATACTGAAAAGGACAAGCATAACTAAAGGAAATAACTATTCCTAATTTTAAAATCTTTCCTAATAAATACTTTAAATTGCAGTAAGAATTAGCTTAAATGGCAAAAGAGCCTTTAACCAGTGCAATTACTCATGCTCGCTATGTAAAAATATATATGTGTACAGATATGAAATCCTAATTTATCATCTTAATGTTATTTCCATAGCACCTACATCAAAGAACATGTCAGCATGAAGTTTTCAGTGATGTAATTTCAATTGAAACTCAGCTGAGCAGCGAGACCAAAATAAAATGAACAGACTATTTGCTGGCAGTATTTCATTTTATAAGTATCACAGCATTGTATGCAGTATATGAAACATTTATAAATCTTGAAGGTCAAACTGATAATGTAAATATTAATAATACATAAGGACGTGAATATATGCAGTAATTTACAGCAATGCTTCTTTATTCTTTAATAGTCTGGAGACATAAAGACTTGCAATATTTCAGAAGGATTTACCTGATTTGTGAGATACTATAAGATCAAGAAGTTGGCGTCCTTCTTCTACAACAGCTTCCTTCAAAGCACAGTGGCTATCTACATTCAGCTTAAAACTCTGTAAGAAAAAATATTACCTATATATTTATATAAGTATCAAATGATGGAGAGGTATTTAACATAAGACACATGTTCAAAATTACTTCCTACTTTTATCAAGGACCACAGCACCATTTACCCAACAGCCACATTCATTTGCAATACTAAAAGCTATTGATATTTGAAATTGAGCTCAGAATGTTTCTGTGAGATTAGCAAAGTGCATCTATGTTGAAACAGTTGACAAATGTAAAATTTCGTTAGGTTTTATGGAAAGCTCTTACACTGTATCTGGAATAACAGCATCAGTAAGGAAACCATCACAGATGGTTTCTCTATTTCAGATTGATTCCAAATATTAGTGACTAAACTATCCAGAAATAAATATATGCAACACAGATTGGTATCTATTAACACAAAATGTTGCAACAAACTAATTCTGTTAATCAGTCATGGTCTTCTCTCTGTGTCATTCCAGAATTTTTCAAGCTGCCTTTGATCTTGTTTGCTTTCATGGGTATAACAAATATTGCTGCTTTGCAATTGCCTACACCTACACAATAACTATCTATGTTTGTTTTGGTTCTAATTGCATTCATGTTGACAATTATACATTGGAAACAAAACAAAGAAACTACAAGAACCCTTTGAAAAATTATTCATCCTTGATTATTTGATAAGATAGGTCGCAAATTACCATACTCTTTACAAGGAGGACCTGCACAATCTAATTGGAAGACTCGTTGTTTTTGCACACAGAGAATGTATCCTACTCATTCATAATGACTGAAAGTACTTTTTTAAAGATGAATGCAACCTTCTGTTGCTCCTTCTTGCTTTCTTTTCTTCCAAGGGCACTGGAAGTATTACCCAACATCCCTCCCATTGCCATCACTGCAAAGTTTGGGGCACTGTCTCTCTCCTGTTAAAGCAAATAAGAGCAGTTCTGGCTAGAAGAAGATTGGGATACTGAAATTGTAGATTTGTCATTTATTGAATGAAACGGTGCATACTGCTGCTACAATATTCACGACTGTTCATCCTGGTCTAGGTAAGTATTGATTCACTGGATACAAAATGTGTCATTGGAAAATTCTGCTGATGATCTTATAGATGTATAGTTAGAAAATAGGAGCTTATAGATGAAAGACCAGAAAACAAGGCACATGTAATGCATTGATGGATCATTCATTGAAATGGATATTCATAACAGCATGAGCATGCAGAAACTGTTGCAGAAGCTTTGAAATATTCAAAGATCATTGTGACCCTCAAGGGAAAAACACATTGTTTGAGAGGTATCAAGTACGAGGAGAAAAAAGGAATAGATAGGTAATTTTGCTTTAGAATGAAAGCAGATTCATAAACCTCCTTTCTGCCTTCCCAAAAAAATGCAATCAGATTAGCAGGCCTAATAGAGGAGTTACTTGATGCATATTATCATTTCTTCTCCTACAGTAGCAGGCATTCTTGCTTTAATGAGGCTCCATCTACAGTGTCATATAATGCTTTGAACAGCATTATATAAGTCTACACACACCATATAATGCAGTTTGAAACTGCATTATATGCAGTCTCAAACTGCATTGTATGCTAGTGTAGATGGGGCCTGAATCATACAATCATAGAATCATAGAGTTGGAATAGACCTCATAGGCCATCCAGTCCAACCCCCTGCCAAGAAGCAGGAAAATAATATTCAAAGCACCCAGGGGCGGCTCAACCCATTATGCAAAGTAAGCATTTACAATATAGTTGATTTTGCCCAGGGGCGCTCTTGAGGCGCTCTTGGGGGAAAATTTGTTGTTGTTCATTCGTTCAGTCGTCTCCGACTCTTCGTGACCTCATGGACCAGCCCACGCCAGAGCTCCCTGTCGGCCGTTACCACCCCCAGCTCCTTCAAGGTCAGTCCAGTCACTTCAAGGATGCATCCATCCATCTTGCCCTTGGTCGGCCCCTCTTCCTTTTGCCTTCCACTTTCCCCAGCATAATTGTCTTCTCTAGGCTTTCCTGTCTCCTCATGATGTGGCCAAAGTACTTCAACTTTGTCTCTAGTATCTTTCCCTCCATTGAGCAGTCGGGCTTTATTTCCTGGAGGATGGACTGGTTGGATCTTCTCGCAGTCCAAGGCACTCTCAGAACTTTCCCCCAACACCACAGCTCAAAAGCATCGATCTTCCTTCGCTCAGCCTTCCCTAAGGTCCAGCTCTCACATCCGTAGGTTACTACAGGGAATACCATGGCTTTGACTAGGCGGATCTTTGTTGCCAGTCTGATGTCTCTACTCTTCACTATTTTATCGAGATTGGACATTGCTCTCCTCCCAAGAAGGAAGCGTCTTCTGATTTCCTGGCCACAGTCTGCATCTGCACTCATCTTTGCACCTAGAAATACAACTTCTGTCACGGCCTCCACGGTTTCTCCTTCTATTTCCCAGTTGTCAATCATTCTTGTTGCCATAATCTTGGTTTTTTTATGTTTAGCTGCAACCCAGCTTTTGCGCTTTCTTCTTTCACCTTGATTAGAAGGCTCCTCAGCTCCTCCTCGCTTTCGGCCATCAAAGTGGTGTCATCTGCATATCTGAGGTTGTTAATGTTTCTTCCAGCAATTTTCACCCCAGCTTTGCCTTCATCCAGCCCCGCACATCGCATGATGTGTTCTGCATACAAGTTAAAAAGGTTGGGTGAGAGTATGCAGCCTTGCCGTACGCCTTTCCCAATCTTGAACCAGTCTGTTGTTCCGTCGTCAGTTCTGACTGTTGCTACTTGGTCCTTGTACAGATTCCTCAGGAGAGAGACAAGGTGGCTTGGGGTGCCCATCCCACCAAGAACTTGCCACAATTTATTATGATCCACACAGTCAAAGGCTTTAGAATAGTCAATGAAGCAGAAGTAGATGTTTTTCTGAAACTCCCTGCCTTTCTCCATTATCCAGCGGATATTGGCAATCTGGTCTCTCGTTCCTCTGCCTTTTCTAAACCCAGCTTGAACATCTGGCAACTCTCGCTCCATGTATTGCTGGAGTCTTCCTTGCAGGATCTTGAGCATTACCTTACTGTCATGAGAAATAAGGGCCACTGTACGGAAGTTTGAGCAGTCTTTCGCATTTCCCTTTTTTGGTATGCGGATATAAGTTGATATTTTCCAGTCTGATGGCCATTCTTGTGATTTCCATATTTGCTGGCATATGGCATGCATCACCTTGACAGCATCATCTTTTAAGATTTAAAGCAGTTCAGCTGGGATCCTGTTGTCTCCTTAAAGTAATATAAGTATATAATCTCTAAGGCCCATTCAACCTCACTCCTCAGGATGTCTGGTTCTAATTCATTCACCACACCGTCAAAACTATCCTCAATATTATTATCCTTCCTATACAGATCTTCTGTATAGTCTCGCCACCTTCTCTTGCTCTCTTCCGCTTCTGTTAGGTCCCTGCCATCTTTGTTTCTTATCATACCAATTTTTGCCTGAAATTTACCTCCAATGTTTCTAATTTTCTGGAAGAGGTCTCTTGTCCTTCCTATTCTGTTGTCTTCTTCCACTTCCCTGCATTGCTTATTTAAAAATAGTTCCTTATCTCTTCTGGCTAACCTCTGGAATTGCGCATTTAACTGGGCATATCTCCCCTTATCACTGTTTCCTTTTGCTTTCCTCCTTTCTTGGGCTACTTCCAGTGTCTCAGCAGACAACCATTTTGCCTTCTTGGTTTTCTTTTTCTTTGGGACGTACTTTGTTGCCGCCTCCTGGACAATGTCTCGGACTTCTGTCCATAGTTCTTCTGGGACTCTGTTTACTAAATCTAGTCCTTCAAATCTGTTCTTCACTTCCACTGTATATTCGCTAGGAATGTTAGTGAGATCATATCTAACTGGTCTGTGTATTTTCCCTGATCTCTTTAGTTTTATTCTAAATTGGGCAATAAGAAGTTCATGATCTGAGCTACAGTCAGCCCCAGGTCTTGTTTTCACCGACTGGATGGATGTCCGCCACCTTTGGCTGCAAAGGATGTAGTCAATCTGATTTCGGTGTTGACCGTCTGGTGAGGTCCATGTGTAAAGTCGTCTTTTAGGTTGTTGGAAGAGAGTATTCGTTATACACAGCGAGTTTTCCTGGCAAAATTCTATCAGCCTGCGTCCCGCTTCATTTTGTTCTCCCAGACCATGCTTGCCTGTGATCCCAGTTGTCATTTGACTTCCCACCTTGGCATTCCAGTCTCCTGTAATGAAAATAATTTCTCTTTTTGGTGTATTATCCAGTAGGTCCTGCAGATCCTCATAGAACTGATCTACTTCTGCTTCTTCAGCAGCTGTGGTTGGGGCGTATATTTGGATCACTGTAATGTTGAAAGGCTTTCCTTGCACTCGAATTGAGATCATTCTGTCATTTTTTGGGTTGTATCCAAGCACCGCTTTAGAGAATTTCTTATTAATTATGAAGGCTACTCCATTTCTTCGATGTTCCTCTTGTCCGAAGTAGTAGATCTGGTGGTCATCTGATGTGAAGTGGCCCATTCCAGTCCATTTCAGTTCGCTGACCCCCAGAATGTCTATCTTTAGTCTTGACATCTCACCAATAACAACATCCAATTTGCCCTGGCTCATAGATCTTACATTCCAGGTTCCTATGGTGTGTTGATCTTTAGAGCATCGGATTCGTCGTTCACCTCCAGTACCGTCGGCCGCTAGCCTTCCTTTCGGCTTTGAGCTAGCTGCGTCATCACATCTGGGGCTAGTTGAACTTCTCCTCTGCTCCTCCCCAGTAGCATTTTGGCCATCTTCCGACCTGGGAGTCCCATCTTCCAATGGCATACCGACATATCTCTGGTTGTACTGGTCCATTTAGTTTTCTTGGCAAGGATACTGGAGTGGTTTGCCATTGCTTCCCCAGGGATCACGCTTGGTCTGACCTCTCTGCCACAACCGTCCCGTCTTGGGTGTCCCTTCACGGTTTCGCTCATGACATCATTGAGGTGCTCAAGCTCCAGCGCCCCGACAAGGCGGTGATCCTTTGCTGAGTG